TCAATTATTATGATAGAACACGTCTTGCTAAATATGGAAGCCTTGGGACTTGCTGTGCAGGTCCAGCTTGGACAACTGGTCAACCCAGCCACCATATTTGCTCCTTATTTAGGTTTTATTCCCCTCAATATTTCATCCCACCCAGGCCCCAGAGCTTCCTGAGGAGCTGGAGCCTGGATTAGGAATCCAGTTGCTGATGCTCCAGAACATGCCTGTGGCAAACCCCAGGCTGCTGTGATTGTGGGGGAGGGGGAAAGGGGGCGGGAGCAGCAGCAAGAGTTACTTCTGGCTCCTGCAGCCATGAGAACTGTTCAGGGGTTTGTTTTGTTCTGCTTTCAATACAATTGACATCAGGTGCTCCCAGCACACTGGCAGAATCCCAACTGACTCTACAGGGCTCTCATTGTCCTGACATCATCCTGCTTATTTGCTATGCTGAGGACACAGCAGCACAAAATCACTCTTCATGAAGCAGGATGGCTTTGGTGCCATTGACTGAAGCCCAGGCTTGAAATGTTCCCTGTGTCCTGACATTGAGGGAGTTACTGATCAACCAGCCAACAAGTGTGTGTGTGAAAGCAAGTTTCTGGGAATCTGCCCCTTCTTTGTGTAGTATAGAGAAGTTAACTTTGATTAGAAATATGGACAGGACAGATCTGGTTCCTGTCCTCAGATGGCTGGCATCAGCCAATGACCTTAGAAAACACATCACAGGCTGTCATAGTTTACATGAATGGGAATAACCTTTACCACAAAACATGGTTAAGATTGGCAGATGTCTGTGTATTGCTCCAAGCCTTTGGCACTTATCAATTTCTCATGACAATAAGTTTTGTTATTCTCCCCAACTTACAAGATGAGAAAACGTAGGTACAGCCAAAATCACATTCAATTGGCCATGCAGTGAGTACTGTCTTTGAAGCCAGATACCCAAGAATCCTTGTCAGGGCACTGGAATCTTTCCCAGTCAGTCTCTGCCATCCAGCAGATGTTCTCTTGTCAAGGTCACTGTGACCTCAGTAAAAGGGTTAATGAGGATACCACTTATTGCCACTGTGCCATTAGAAAGAAAAGGAGCAAATATTATTAGCTCTGCAGATATGAGCCCTGTATTCTGATTACTCGTTTTTGCATGTGTCCCAGTACTGGAACTTGAATTTGGAGCCTGCGTGCTGTCCCTTAGCTTTTTCATGCAAGGCTGGCACTCCACCACTTGAGTCAGACCTGACTTCTGCCTTTATGGTGGTAAAATGGAGAGAAGAGTCTCATGGAATTTCTTGTCCAGGCTGCATTCAAATTACAATCAAATCTCAGCCTCCTGAGTAGCTAAGATTATAGGTGTGAGCCACCAGTACCCGGCTTCATCCTGATTATGAAGCTAATTTTCTTTTTGTTGTTGTTGTTGTTATTTTTTGGGGGGTCCGGTGGTGGGGCCTGAACTCTGGGCCTGGGCACTGTCCCTCAGCTCTTCAGCTCAAGGCTAGCACTCTACCACTTGAGCCACAGTGCCACTTCCAGCTTTTTTCTTTTTGCTTATGTGGTGCTGAGGAATTGAACCCAGGGCCTCATGCATGCAAGGCAAGCACTCTACCACTGAGCCACCTTCCCAGCCCATGAAACTAATTTTCTGTAGTTGCTCATTATTCCCCATATTTCCTATGGTATCTTCTTGAATTTCAATAAGAAATTACATTAGAAGCAGAGCTGAAGGTTTATACTGCTGAGTTTTCCTGTAACCTAACAATCTTTGAGCCTGAACTTCCTCTTTTGAAATCATTAGCAATGCAAGAGTGTTGCACTGTGAAAACTTCATAGATGCATAAGCATATACTTTGAACAAATTTATTCCTTCCAATACATTCTCCTAGCTATTCTCCATCACCTCTCTTGATCAGTTTTTGATGGGTTTCATTATACTATCTTTGTACATATGAAGGTAGTATGCATCAAACCTATATATCACCCTGCAAGAGCAAGATTTGGGAATTGTATCAAACTAAACTTTCAGCATAGCGAAAGAAACAACTACCAACATGAAGAAACAACTCACAAAATGTGGGAAAACCTTTGCAAGCTTTTCATTAGATAAACAATTAAGATCTGGAACAGAACATACAAAGGGTTCCAAAAGTCCAACAGCAAAAGAAGAAATAATTCAATTAGTAAATGGACAGATTGAATGAAACAGAAAGTTCTCAGAGTTACAAAGGGCTAATAAACACATGAAGAACTGTCCAACACCCTTAGCCACCAGGAAAATATAAATCAGTAACATTGAGATTTTATCTCACCCCAATCAGAACGGTCATCATCAAGAATACAAACAGCAGTAAATACTGGTGAGGATTTGGGGAAAAGAACCTTCAAACAGTGTTGGTGGGAATGTAAACAAAAGCAATCACTATGGAAATCAGGTTTCTTAAAAAGCTGAAAGTAAACCTATGTCTTTGTCCTACAGCCTTTGAGCATAGAGCCAAATTAGTGTGATCAACATACAAGCAGGATGCCCACACACACACGTTTGTCTAAGCACTTTCTTTTATTCCTGTAAATCACAGTGTCCTGAATTCTTTCTTTCCAAATCATTTTAGCACACAGCTAGGTAACTACCTAACACAGTATAGATTCCCCTGACATCAAGGTTTAATTTGTTCTAGAAATGAAATGAGCTCTCTCAGGACACGCCTGAAATTTTAGAACTGATAGCTTGATTTTTGTCAATGACGGCTTGATCTTATTCAATCTCCAGCCCCATCAGCTAAGTCCTATCGTGACTACAGAAAGTGAAACTCACATGTTTTGTTCTATATGTTTGCTCCTGGACATGGACACTTGAAATAAGGCCTTCTTCATGTTGATTTTATTTATTTTAAGGCAAGATTTTATCAGGTTTAGTGATCCTGGAGTGGGTAAAAAAAATGAAGGTTATATATGTTTAGTTTTTAATATCTATGTGCATCTGATCATATAAAATAATATATATTGAAATGAACTACAGGAAATGGAAACAAGAGGTTTTTGCTTTGTTGCTGTTTTTGTTTTCTTTTTCTTTTGTCTTGTTTGTTCATTTATCTGTCTTTGGGAGAGAAAAGGGAGGCACAGAAATAGTGTGACAAGAGGTAAACAATGCAGCAGTGGTGCTCACTGGACACTATGTTGAAAATGAACTATACAACTTGTGGATGGGGAAGGGAGGGAAAAACTAGAAGAGAGCAAGAGCAGGGGTCATATTGTCCAAAAAGAGATACATTCTTTACCTGACTTATGCAACTTTTACCCCTCCATACACATCTCCTTTATAATAACAACTAAAAATGCATGAAGAAAAAAATAACAAAAGAACTGTTTTAGTCATTTTATTTATTTATTGTAGGTCTGGGGATCTAAGGCTAACTAAGCAAGTACTTTCCAACCAAGTTGCACTCCCAGTCCAAGTTTTAGTCAGCTTTAACACAAAAGCTGGCACTTGTGCCCTCATTTGCTTTATATGTTGGCTGCTGGGTGGCCTATCTATTAGAACAAGACTCTAGGCACTCTGAGGGAATTATGGTACACTGTTACATGAGCATGTGCTGCAGATATGTGTGTGCCTATGTATAATCTGGGATATAGGGAAAGGGAAAATGTGGGGCAGGCTGGGGTTTGTATTGGTAAATTGGGTATATGATGTGCCTGTGCATGTGTGTATGTGAGAGGAAGAAATCTGGGATATATGTGTAAATAAATATTGGTATGATCTGTATGATGTGTGTCTGATGCCCTGCTCTTGGCTACAATCTGTAGCATGTTTATATACCTGTGTGCGCCAGTATGATTGTGTTGGGGACAGTTATGGGGAAGATTAGGATTTGTATTAGAAAGTTGTGTTGGAGCATCATATAATTTTTATGCCTAGCTAAATTTAGGACTTGGTTTTTATACAGGAAAGGGTATGGAATGTTCCATATGTCTTTTAAGCACTGCAGAAATTGTATCAAGTTGACACTTTTTATCAGCTTATATGAGCTATGGAGGGAGTGTCATTGTTACTATGTCCTATGTTTATACAGTGTTCCATTCAGTCTGACCCCCTCTATCACACTCTCTACCCATTCTTTCCCTGAGCAAAGCATCTCCAGTGGGTTCCCCTGTTTCATTTTCATAGTTGGAAGTAATCTATTCCCATAATATTCAACCTTATTTACCTCCCGGCCAGCCCCTATCTCCCGCTAGTCCCCACCCAACAATTTCTATTTCTGTCCCCATGCACTCTACTCATCATCAGCTGTCCTTGAGTTTTGCTATGCTGCCCCTCATGTATGCTTACAATGTATCACAAAGTTATTCACTCTTTACTTTTTCGTGGTTCTGTCATTTTTTTTCTTCTCCTGAGATGTCTGTTAGCTTGATTGATGTTCTGTGTCAAACTGACATTTTGATACTGTAACATAACTTAGGGATGACCAGGAGCATACAGGGGACTGAAGGAGACCCAACCAGGACTGAATAATGCCATGAGACTTAGGCTAGCCCACTGGGGACTGATACGGAAAGGACAATGACTCCTACTTGTTTCTCCCATTTCCACACCTAAGGTGATCCTGTCCTTCGCTGGCTCCACTGGGCCATGGTTCCTGCTTTGGCCTATGGGACAGTAGCAAGTCTGATGGGACTTGAAGAATAACAGCAAAGGGCGCAGTGGTGCTGGCCTGGTTTAACCGCTGTATGGACCCCTCTCACTTTTCCATGGGGAGAAGCCATATGGGGCTAAGGAACAAAGTGTGAAGAAAGAAGTACAAGAGGAGGGGTGGCACTGTGAAGGAGAAAGGAACAGAGGAAGGAGGGGAGCCAGGACTGGGAGAGGCCCAGAGTGGAAAGGTCAGAAGGAAACAGACAAACACAGGCTGGAGTGTGCCAGGAAAAAGGGACAGGCCAAGGGTGGGGGTGGGGCTAAACCTGGCATAAATAAAAGCAGCCAAGCAGAACTCCTAGCCTCCAGATAGTGACCACCCTGCCTAAGGACAGCTCCAGCTCTACCTTCAGCCATGGCCAGCATTCTAGGCATTCAGCTGCTCCTGCTGGCTACTCTGACCAAGGCAGAGGATGTGAACCCTGAATCTAACGCGAACTCCTGGCTAGGGGGCTTGGAAAAGGCTGATGTCAACAGCGAGGAGGTGCAGCGTGCTGTGGAGTATGCAGTTGGGTATCACAACCAGGTGCATGACAACGATGCTTACATAGACGCTGTGGTGAAGGTTGTGAGTGCTGAACAGCAGGTACGTGCCTGCTGGGGCGTAGGAGAGGGGTGCTGAATCTGGCTGGGTGTCTCTTTCAGAGGTGTGTGCCAGGTTCCATGCTCTGGACACCACTTGACACTTCACTCTGGAGCCTCTTCCTCCTCCACCCAGTTCTGACTGCTCTGGGTATGTTTCATAGCCCTTGGTATGGAGAAGTTCTGATTCAAGAAAATGTCCCCTGTCTCACTCTGGCCTGCACTTGGCCTCTGGCCTGGTACTGCAGCCGAATCCCTGTTACCATAGTGTTTTTCCAGCATCAGCCAGTCAGAGCTGCCCCTTAGATTCCTACCTCCAGCTTAGTGGGGACGGGAGGGGAGTACAAGAGAAAGAAACACACCAGGCCACGCTCACTAAATGATGTCTTAACACGGTTCCCCTTAACCTCTTGTTACGATACAATCTCATATTCACAAAGCAGCTGGCACAGGAGTCACAGTACCTCAGCACATGCCCCTGTCTACTGGTCCTCCAAGCTTTCTCTATACACTTGCTTGGCATGCATTTACTTCTCTGAACTTTGGAGAGCAGACATTTCACTATACATTTCTTGCAAATAAGGGTTTTGTCTACACATCCATGATTCCATTGTGAATATCAGAATCCACACTGCCACATACAATTCCACTTCTCATTCAGACTCTCTGGACTTGCTGCTCTCCAGTGGTGGGCAGTCAGACTGGGCTGCAGCCACGGTCCTGAACCTCAGCCTCCTTCTGGGTGGAGCACTCCTGCGGTTTCTGTGACCTTTGAAAGGCCTTTGAAAGGGTCCTGACAGTTAGGGTGTAGTCATGAGATGCATGTACAGAGTCAGCCTCATAAGATTACATCATCTAGTGACATTGTGGCCCTCTTGGTGTTTAAGTGAAGTATGACACTCCACCACGAAATCCCAAGACATATTTCTCAGAACGTGTCTCAGTCACAGGAAGCCATGCCTGTGTGGACTGTTGCTCACTCTGTGTGGATCTGATATTTTCTGAAGGTTGAAGGTAGGTCATAGGCTGGTCTCCTCTTCAAGTCTTTCCAAGTCTTTTCTCCAAGTCTTCTTGAGCCTTGGCACAACAGGATAGTTTCCCTGGGGCAAGCTCAAGGGACCAGTGTCCCTTAGCCTGACACAGGTGCTCCATGGCCAGTGGTCCTGGGCACTTGAGTCTCCACTAGGGAAGAGAACCTGCACTTTGTACCTTTCAGCATAGATTTAGCCCTAGTGGAGGAGGAGGGAAATTGGCCAGGGGGAGAAGGGATCTGGAGACAGCATTAAGGGCTATTGTGATCCAGTAATAAAATATGCGTCAAAATGTGTCAGGTCTGAATAAAACATGCCAAAATAAGAAGTTAAAATAGAAAGGGTTAAGAGATCATGTCATGAATGTAGTTTATGTGAAGGTCAGTTTCTCCTCTCTCAGATAGATACATAGATTGTCACGTGGCACAACAGGATGGAAGGTGTTTTTCTTTCTCTTTTCTTTCTATTTGGTGATACTGGGATTAAATCAAGGCCCTAGAGGATGCTAAACAAGAGCTCTGTCATCTGAGCCATGTCCCGTCCTTTCTGCTTTTATTCTATCTTGAAAGAGGATTTCCATAACATTGTCCAGGCTAGCCTGAAACTATGGGTCCTCATACCTTTGTCTTCTGAGTTAGTGGACTACAGGCGTGTACCACCTTGCCCAGCTGTAGAGAGCTCAGTTTTGCCTCCTGTCTAAAATTCAGATGGTGAAGACTAGTCCATTTCTCCTGCTGCTGAAGTCATCACTGTCAGTCCTCCTTTGACTTATCATATGTTTCCCATGCACCACGGCCTCGGCTGGCCTGTGAACACCTCTTGTGTAACTTGGAAAGAAGCATGGGGTATTATATTATATGTTATAGATCATCGAGTCCATGACACCTGTAAAACAGGTGGAAGATACAAGAGAGAGCATGGGCTTTGCTCCTTCTACAGTTCCAGGTCTGGAGTCCTGTCCCCTGTCGCTCATGCTGTGCTGGGCCAAACTTCTGACAAGTCAGGTCTGAGCCTGGAAAGGATTAAATTCTCTTCTTTAATCACAGTGTAAGACACATAGGTGTGTGACACACTGAAGAGATACATATTCTCACTGACAGTTACATATTTGAAGCCTGGACCACTCCCCTTCCCCCTGTGTGTGAAATGTTCCACCTCCTCCTGTAGAATGAGAACACAGTAAGTGAAGGAAAATAGAGGGAAGGGGATCCTGTATGGGCTACATGCTAGGCACTGGAGTTTAGCTGGAGTTTAATCATCAGGCTACAAACTTTCTAGAATGGACCACTGTCTCTGCCTCCTGAGCCACAGGCAGAATTCAGTTAGTCCTGTGCTGCAGACAAGAGCCTTGGCTTTCTGCTCAGACTAGTGCTGGGCTCCTAGAACACAGAGCTGTCTATTTTCCTCCTGCATGGATGTCCCCTGAGCTGTCCCTTCCATCCCTGAGTCCAGTGAACGATTGCGCATTCCCAGCTCCTGCCTTCTGTTTTTCCTGCTTCTTTTACTTGACTCCAGGAGACGTTTTGTCAGAATGCATCAGAGGAAAAGAAGCGATGCTGCTGTGTGCTTTGTGGGTGATGGTTCTGACAGCCCATGAATGCAGGTGTGAACCCTAGGCAAACAGGTCAACTCCATGTAATGTAGCTGCATGCATGTGACCTTGGCCAGTCAGGCAAGTGTTCTTTTCACTCTAGACGGTGGCTGGAATGAAGTACAACTTCGTTTTGGAGATGGGCCGAACCATATGTACCAAAGTGGAGCCCAATTTTGATAACTGTCCTCTCAATGAGCAACCGGGTCAGGAGCAGGTGAGTTGGGGCCAGTCATCCCTTGTCAATCTTCACCATATCCTCTCTCTTTCAAGTGTATTTCCCATCCCCTTGTTCTGTTTGCCTCTTAGTCTTGGCTCTAGGGTGGGAGGAGAAAGAGCTTGAGGGTGGTAGGCCTTCCTCCCCTGTCTGCTTGTCTGGGGTTGCAACAACCTAGCAAAGCTTCTCCTTAGAGGTCTGTGATGGGGGCAAGAAAACAGAGTCCCAGGGGCTTAGAAAGAGGTGACACAAGACACCTGGTTTAGTTAGAGCAATGGAGAGATGGTGAGCAGATGTCAGAGTTGTGCTGTGGGTCCTGAAACTCCAGAGTTTGAGGAGGTGGGTGGGTGGCAAGCACCTCACCTCCATCATTTCCAATGGCCCTGCTGCTATCTCATGACTCTTTCAACAACAACCATGTTGACGGTCTCATCTTTCTTTTGCAGAGAAAACTCTGCTCCTTCGAGGTCTACGATGTGCCCTGGGAACACAAGATGTCTATGTTAAGTTACAACTGCCAAAATGCCTAAGAGGCAGTGGCAGGCCGGGCTGCACTGACCACCCCTGTCTTGAAGCCTTGCCCTGTCGTTCACCAATCTTTAGATGAGAGCCCAGCCCCGGAAGATGCCTTCTCCAATGGCAGCACCAGAAGACCAGTAGAGGAGGCTCCAGGCAGCTTAGCTAAACAGTGGCTCTCTTTTCTCTTTCTTCTCCTTGCTTTTCAAATATCCCAGTGAAGGGAATGCTCTTCCTCACTCCATAAACAGATGATCAGCTTCCTGAGTTGTTTTCTGTCTTGGGGTGTGAGGGAGGAGCATGGGAGCCTGGGCCTTGAGGCCACACATGTACATCATAGGGGAGGCTGTCTGCGATCTGAATCTCAGAACACATAAAGAGCAAAGAGGGACTGGGAACTCAGGTGTGACGCTGACAGACAGACAGACACAGACAGAGGACAGAAAGGATATAGGCTGCCATGCTAGAAACTTTGTTTCTGCCTTTAAAAAATAATGTCAGACATCAGAGAAAGGAGAGGCCAGGATGTATGCAGAGCTGACTGACTATGGGAAGTATCTGTCATCTGTCAGGCTCCCCAGAAACTCCATAAATGGCAATTTATGTGTAAATCATATTGTGTGTGTGTGTGTGTGTGTGTGTGTGTGTGTGTGTGTGTGTGTGTGTGTGCCCTCACTAGAGATGGACTCAGGAACTGAGCACTGTCACTTAACTTTTTCACTCAAGGCTGGTGTTCTACCATGTGAGTCACAGTTTTACTTCTGGTTTTCTACTGGTTAATTGGAAATGAGTCTCATGGACTTTTCTGCCCAGACTAGCTTTGAACTTTGATCCTTAGATCTCAGTCCCCAGAGTAATTACGATTATAGGCATGAGCAACTGGCACTCAAATTTAAATCATCTTATTATGTGTATTTCTATTCACAAAAGATCGGCACCTGCATGACAGAGCATAGGAAATATGTTTATGTGTAACTCGTTGCGGGAAAAGACAGATCAGAAGTTAGGAAGGGAGACATGGCACAGCATGGAAACAGTACATTTGTCATGTACTTAGCTGTGCCCTGTTGGGGTGTTACAGGCAGCTTCTCCCCACCTCCTCTGCCCTTGTAGATAAAACAAGTCCTTGTGTGTAGCATCATGAAAGAGATGTAGCATTTACGATAGAAGAAGTTTGTCACTAGGTGGACTTTCTTCTAAGGAGGGCATCTTATTCATCATATTGCCTTGATGTTAACCTCATTGTACACAAAAGGGATGTCTTTGATGACCCAGAGCAAACAGACCATGGTCCTACTATGTACATGTGCATGGTGCTTTTTCTTCTGTCTTTCCTTCTGCCTGAAAGGGCAGAAGGAAGACATCTGGTCACTGGAACCCCATTTCTCTGAAGTGCACTCATAGAAGCATTAGAAAGCTGTCTTGGAGCCCAGTGCTGGTGGCAGCTCACATTTGTAATCCTCACTACTCAATAGTCTGAGGTCTGAGGATCAAAATTCAAAGCCAGCCCAGCCAAGGAAGCCCATAAAACTTATCTCCAGTTAACCAGCAAAAACACAGAAGTGGAGTTGCTGCTAAAATGGTTTACCACCAGCCTTGAGTAGAAAAACAACAGGAAAGTGTCCAGGCCCTATATTCATGCCCCAGTATAGGCACAAGAATGAAAGGAAGAAAGAAAATAAGAAAGGAAGGAGAGAGAAAGAATAAAAGAGAAAGACTAAAAAGAAGGAGAGAGAGAGAAAGAAAGAAAGAAAGAGAAACAGAGAAAGAAAGAAAGAGAAACAGAGAAAGAGAAAAAGTAGGAAGGAAGGAAGGAAGGAAAGAAGGAAGGAAGGCTGTCTTGGGCATGGTAAGCACACCATACTCACTAAAGGTGAAATGCCAAAGGGGACCAGAGAGTCTAGTGGTCAGCACCTCACAGACTTTGGGTTGCAATGGTGCGCTGAGCACAGAGGGCATGCACCCCATTTTTTCTCCACCTTAAAGACAGATGCCTCTCTATCTCCATTTAACAAAAGTCCTTGGAAAGATGTAAGGGAAGTACCTGCCACCGCGCCATGAGTTCCTAAGGTCTGAGGGCCAGTAATGGGGCAGAGAAGCCAGGCATGGCCATCATAGAATCTGGGGTATCCTGTCTGCAGAGATTTCTACCTAGATGAAAGTTCTCTCTTTGATCTGAGCAGCTACCCTCCCTGATTTTTTTCTTCTTTGGGGGAATTTAGGATTGGAGATGGGGCTGTGTGACCAATTTTCTTTCCTTCCCTCTACCCAGTATCTCCCAACTTATGACTCAGACAAATGCAGGCTGATCCCATGCCAGCCCCCCCCCCAGGAGCAGGCCTCTGTGAATGCCAGCATCCTGGCCCCAGGCCACCTGTGCTCTTATGGGCTGAGGGGAAGCTCAGCAGCTTCTCTCTGCAGATGACATCTATCGATTATTAATGTCAGCCATAGGTGTACATTTTATCTATGATTAGCCACAGAAATAGACAGTACAGTGCCTGACTTAGCACAGGGCCCAGCTCAGAGGCAACACCCAATACATTTTACCATTTTTTTCCTCTCATGGATTTCTATATATTGAGGTGGTTTTAAAACAGGGTCCCCAAAGTCTCTGAAACTCCTGGTACAGCTGAACAGTGCCTAGGCTCCTGCCTCTTAACTTCAGATGGGTTTGTGACTGCTTCTACCAAACCACAGAGGGAATGAAGTGGTAACCTGCCACGGGTCAGGAGAAACCTCATAGGTATTGCTGCCCTCTAGTGGATCTTGAGACAGAGTCCAGGCGAGGAGTCCACCATACCCAAAGCCACCATATCTGGAAGGCCATGCGATGATACTCCAGGTGTCCTAAGGATCCTGGCTTCCCTTTAGTCAGCCCTGTGTCCCTAGAGCATAGCCTCACCTTTCTAGGGGGGCTGGGGATGAGCCCCGTGACTTTACTGGTCATTCAGAGCCAGTAGCCTCATGTCTTTTCCCAGGGGAAAACCACATTAAGGACCTGCTCTCTGTCTTACAAGCTTCCTGCCCCCACAGCACCCTGCTTCCTGAAATGTCTAGGCCTGGGAGGATGGTTTGTGTAGAGCACTCCTTCATGCATCTCCATTTCCAGACTCCTCACGCTCTACACATTGTTGTTGCTCACTGCTGAGGTCCAGTCACAGCCCAGGGTTCAGACATCACTGGGAAGTGAATGAGCCCATCCCCCACAAGCTCCCAGATGGGTGTCACACAAGGTGCAGGTGAAGAGATGCAAACAGGCATTAATGCAGAGTTAAGAGTACAGGCCGTCAGAGGCCCATGGGGGCCTTGTGGCTGCCTAGCCCTGCCTGGGGTTGTAGAATCTCCAGTGAGGCTCAAGTAGAGCCTGGCTCTCCTATCACTCAGGTTGGAAGAAGTTCACAACCATCACCACACTTCAGGGTTCTTTTCTCCCTAATAGATGTACACCATCCATGGGGATATGTGAGGGGGGATGAGGTATTAGGTCCTTGGCAGACTGCTTGGCCCTCAAAGCACATGAGAGAAGGCACAAAGGTTGCATTCTCTGTTCTGGGGGAGGAGGTCTCAGGACTCTTCCTCTGGACAAATCCAGCCACCTCCCCTGGGCTAGTTGCATCCCTCTCTATTTGCCTTAGTTCTTGCCAAAATATCCAAAGTGAAGTAATTGCCAGCCATTGCAATGACCATTCTACCAAATTTTAGTGTTATCCTAACCCTACAGATGCTGCCATGAGATAAGATGAATTGGTGGGAGGAGGGTGCTTTGGGCTCACAGAGATGATGGAATGTGTCTGAGGAGGCCATGCTGCCAAGGGGCAGCCCTCACCCCCACAATCTAGAAAGGGTTAAAATGCTGAAATATCACATATAAAAATGACCATGACAAGAAGAGAATCCTTCAGCCTAGCATCATGTGACTCACACCTATAATCCTACCTACTCAGGAGGCTGAGATATGGGAGAATCACAACTCGAGGCCAATTTAGGCAGAAAAATAGGTTAGACTCTATCTCTAACCAGTGAAAAAATCCAAGGCTGGAGATGTGGTTCATGTTGTAGAGCACTAGCCTATCAAAAAATCAAGCAAGCACAAACCCTAATTTCAAATACTTACATTACAGGTAAAGGGAAAGACAGAAACAGGATGAGAGAGAGACAGAGACAGAGACAGACAGACAGAAAGAGACTCTATCAAGATAGCACTCAAACCAACAAAACTAAACCACAAATGCAGTACTGTACTTAACCATCTCCTAACCTGTGTGAGTCCTACCAAATTTGTAACCCTTCCTAGTTTGAGCTTTATCCTGCACCTAACCATAAAGACCACCAGATGGAAGCATTCACCTGCTGATGATCAACACTGCTCCTGGACTTTAGAGTTCTGGTCATCTTATGTATTCAGAAAGGTAGCTCTGGGAAGGAACTTAGTGTCTACCTGGAAGGATGAAGCTCTGGAGAGCTCCATATTCCTGTCTCTGCTCTCAGTGTTCTGGGATATCTATAAACAGTACAAAATAACGGAACAGTACAAATGACAGTAAATCTATACTCTCCAGTTATTGCAGCTTCCTCTACGTCTCTCACCTTAAGCAGGAAGACTCTAAACTGGAGTTCCCCCTGAAAGGAGAGACGGTCCTACCTAGAACTGGCAGAGATTGTAGAGAAACTAGGACTTGCTCAAAGTAGATTAGGTGAACCTGCGTGACCCCTGTGGACAAGCCTGGCTTCTGCTGTGTCTGCTATGCTTTCCTCCCTCCTTCTTTTCTCTCTGCTGTCTTGTTCATCCTTCTCTTTCTAGGTTGCCTAACTCCTTCTTCATGGTGTTCTCTAGAGGCCAGAGGCAAAAGTGTCAAGGAAAATCTGTATTCTTCATTCAGTGATGTGACTGAAGACAAGACCCATTTGAGCCCTGATTTGATAGACCAGCCCCTGACCACCACCCACTGCCTACGTTCTGATTCAGAGAACTTCATATCCCCCTGTTAAATTTGACTATAACCACCATTGCCATCATTATTACCATCACCATTATTTCCACCATCTCCATCACTATCACAGCCATGACCTTAATCACCATCATCGCCATCTTAATCACAATCACCATCAGCATCATCACCATCGTGACCACTTGTCAGGCAAAGTGATGAAGTTCCTAGCAATTGGAAGAAGGGTTGGCAAACTCAGGCAGTGGGCACCAAGATGTGGGTGGCCAGTCCTTCTTCCAATTCTCTCTGAAGTTTTGGGGT